TGTTTCTGGTGACGATATCATCATCGGAAAGACAGCTCCTATCGCAACCGACGCACAAGAGCTTGGTCAGAAGACTACTCTCCACACCAAGCGCGATGTCTCAACACCATTGCGTAGCACCGAGAACGGTATCGTCGACCAAGTACTCTTCACCACCAATACTGAGGGACTCCGCTTCGTCAAGGTCCGTACACGAACGACCAAGGTACCGCAAATCGGTGACAAGTTCGCTTCTCGTCACGGACAAAAGGGAACCATTGGTATCACCTACCGCCAAGAAGACATGCCCTTCTCCAAGGAAGGTCTTACTCCCGACCTGATCATCAACCCCCACGCCATTCCCTCCCGTATGACAATTGCCCATTTGATCGAGTGTCTACTCTCCAAAGTCGGCGCCATCACCGGACAAGAAGGAGACGCCACACCCTTCACCGACATCACCGTCGACCAAGTCTCCGGCCTGCTCGAGGACGCCGGCTACCAAAAGCGTGGTTTCGAAATCATGTACAACGGCCACACCGGCAAGAAGATGCGCACACAGATCTTCTTGGGTCCAACATACTACCAGCGTCTCAGACATATGGTCGACGACAAGATCCACGCTCGTGCGCGCGGTCCCCTTCAGATTCTTACTCGCCAGCCTGTCGAGGGTCGTGCTAGGGACGGTGGCCTTCGTTTCGGAGAGATGGAACGTGATTGCATGATTGCGCACGGCGCCGCCGCCTTCTTGAAAGAACGTCTCTTTACCGTCTCAGACGCGTACACCGTACACGTTTGCGACATCTGCGGTCTGATGAGCCCTATTGCGTAAGTTCCTCCCCTCTCCCACATCTCCCCATCTCTCTCACCCAAACACTCTTGCTAACTCTTCAATCCAGCCAACTCAAAAAGGGCCTCTACGAGTGCCGCCCCTGCCACAATAAAACCCGCATCTCCCAAATCCACATCCCCTACGCCGCCAAGCTGCTCTTCCAGGAACTCCTCGCCATGAACATTGCCACGCGCATGTTTACCGATCGCTCTGGATTGAGCGTCCGTGACTAGTCGTTGTCGGACGCTATGGATAGGCTTAGCTTGTCTTCTGAGCGGAAATCTGGCCGGGGGTATTCATACTTTCGGGTTTTCTCGTAGTCTTGAGTCTTTTTTTTTCCTGCATGGTCATGGCGTTTCTTGATGTTTGTGTGCGTTTGGACAGAATGATTGAGAGGAAATATAAGGCTGCCGTTGGAAGGTTTTAGCCTGGCGTTTTTAAGTTGCGAGCGCTTTTTCTCATCTATGCGGGGGGTTTAATCAGAGGCGAATCGAATAAGACAAAAACTGCATGTGATTACAGACGAAGTAGCATTAATTTGTTTTGTACACCGACTTAGACTGAAATCAAGGATGCTGCCCTCAACATAGTTCTCACCACAAAGCCATCATGCAAGATATGTTGTACGAATCGGCATTATTGTGTTGCCTACTGCTTGGTATCTGTACTATCTATCCACACGCTCCTGTGTACGCCTTACCAAATGATTACCACCGCCCTCGTCATCATCAATATCACTCACTTCTTGAGTCCATCAAACGCAACGAGCGTTTCATCATCTTCAAACGCAAAAGACCAATCCTCGTCACTGTCATAAGCCTCCTCGACACCCTCGATATCGTCACCAGCGTCGTCGGCAGCTAATTGCCGCTCTCTTTCTCTTTCTTCATAACGTTCGATTTCCTATAATTCGTCCTGCGACAAGAACGGTCGTTCTGGGGGCACGGGGAGCAAGAAGATGCGGGGGAAAGCTCGCTACGCTCCGCCGCCGAGAAGGTGCTCGATTGCGCCTTGGACGTTGCCGCCGCTGCGCCGTAGGGCGGCGACGTTGCGGTCGAACTCGTAGAAGCCCATTTCGTTGAGCTGCCTGAGTTGTACCTCGTAGATTTCCTCAGGTGGCCGGTTGTCTGCTGGGGCTGGTGGTGCTCCGAAGCCGCCTGCGCCGCCGAATCCGCCGGGGCCGAAGAGTGCGGCGAAGGGGTTGCCGCCGGCTTGTTGGCCTGCTTCACCTCCTGGAGCTCCTGCTGCGTCTTGTCCACCAAAGGCTGCGAATGGGTTTGCTCCTGCGCCTCCTGCACCGCCCATCATCTGCATCATGTTGCGCATGGCTTCTGGGTCCTGCATCATCCTCTGGGCGGCCGCCGCGAACGGGTTCGCTTGTCCGCCTTGTGCGCCAGCTCCACCAAACAAGTTGGGGAAGGTGCCCGAGGCGTCTTGTGTGTTTTGTGCCGCACCACCCTGTTGCTGAGGAGCCAAAGGATTCTGGCCTCCAGCAAACAGATTGGCGAACGGGTTTGCTCCAGCGCCTGCGGCACCACCGGCTGTACCGAACGCGGAGAATGGATCTGTCGGTCCGGTCGTATTAGGCTGGTTCGGTGTCGCGGTTGTGCCTTCTCCTGTGGCAGTCGGACCTGGCTGTGTGGTGTTGTCGGTAGCTCCTGGGGCTGGGAAACTCGGGCCTGTGGGGCCCATATTCCGCTGCATCTGCAGTTGCATGCGCATCATCTCTGGGCTGAACATCATACGGCGCATTTCGGGATTTCGGAGGACTTGCTGAAGCATCGGGTTGTCGCGGATCTATCTTAGATTAGACAATGCATAGTATAAAGAAGGAACAAGCTTACCATGGGGCTCTGCAGCATCATTTCTACTACTGCTGGGTTGTTCATAGCCTCGTTCATCTGCGACAGAAACATGGGGTTCTCCATCTGCTCTAGTAACGCTTCTGGGTTTGTAGGAGGACCGCCCATCTATTTTGTGTCAGTAAATGTCCATGTTGAATCTCGGGTTGATCTAGACTTACGCCACCATCTGGTCCGAAAGTGTCCATTCCTGGTAGACCGTGAAAGCCGGCATAGCGCGCGCCTGTGAGCCCAGCGAGAGGGTTGTTGCCTGTTCCTGCAGCAATGTTGGTCGGCACCTGTGGTGTCTGGGTGTTGACCCCGCTTGCTGAGCCTGCCGTGCCTTGGTTTCGTACGTTGCTGGCGGCACCCTTGACGAGATGGACTGTGTGGCCATCCTTGATCTTGACGCTAGCGAGTGTGTCGTGGTCCTTCAGCACGCGACCGGAGTATATCAGGCGTTGGCGTTCGGCGGGAACATCTGCGTACTCCGACGTCGAGAGCTTGGCCTTGAGGTCGGCAACTGTGGTGGTTTGGACTAGTGTGAGAACGTGCTTCTGGTCGTTTGCAGCCTTGACATTGAAGGTGATCTGCGTGTCCTCGGTGGTTGTGGCGGCGTCGTCGGCCATGGTCGCTGATTTACGAGCGTGGGGTAGTGATAGGAAGCTCTACAGGCACTGGAGGAATAGAGCAGTCTGGGTATGACTGTTGACTGCGAACTGATGCGTGTCCTTGGCGAGTGTGAGTGGTGTATAGCAGCAGAGATGTTTGACTGTGCGAGAGGCCGTCCTTAGCTTTGGATAGGATTGGAAGGCAGTAGAACGTCACTGGACCCGCACCTGGTACCCTGCCGTTCCTTAGCGCGTGCCCGTGCATATCGCGCGGCTTGCGCTGACTAAGACACGCGCGCCAAGCCTTCGGGTGGGGGCAGGAGCGGAGGTTGGCCGGGGAAGCCAGCCGAGGTATCTTGGAGCGTTGAGTAGCTGTCGGCCGTCATGCAAGCTACAATGGCGTCCGCGTCTGTTCTATCTACCCGAAGTCATCTTCGAGCTCCCGACTGAACCTTTCTCTCATTCAACAATTGAAGCTGTTTGCTATCATACATACTTCGCGTAACCTCAGTCAAACCTCAACATGAAAGGCATACAGATCAAGGAATATGTCTCGGTAAGCATCCTACCTAGCAATGTACCAGCCTCAAGCTTCACCACTAATTCTATCAGGGCCCAGAGGATCTCAAGGTCCTCGACCTCCCAACCCCGACCCCAAAATCGAACGAGTACCTAATCGCCATCCACGCCTCAGCAACCAACTTCTTCGATCTCCTCCAGATCCGCGGCAAATACCAACATCAACCTGCCTTCCCCTGGATAGCCGGCTCAGAGTTCTCCGGCGTTGTCCTCAAAGCACCGACCTCGCTCGCAGGAGGCAAGACACCAAAGTTCAAGGAGGGCGACAAGGTCTTTGGTGCTTCCCAGGGCGGTTACGCAACACACATCGTCTGCACAGAAGAGAGACTCAAGCCCGTGCCCGAGGGATGGAGTTTCGAAGATGCCGCTGGTGTATTTGTTACAGCGCCGACGAGCTATGCCGGTCTGGTAACTAGAGCAGGCATCAAGAAGGGTAAGCCATCGGAACTCCGAACCCTATTTATCTTCCCTTGTAGAGACTAACAATGCTATGTAGGCGACTGGGTACTCGTCCACGCAGCAGCCGGCGGCGTCGGTCTAGCCGCCGTGCAAATCGCCAAAGCCTTCGGCGCGACCGTCGTAGCCACAGCTGGCACATCACACAAACTCGACGTCGCGCGTGCCTTCGGCGCAGACTACGCCGTCTCCTACCGCGACAAAGATTGGCCCGAGCAAGTGAAGAAGCTCACTCCCAAGGGTCGTGGCGTGGATATCGTATACGACCCTGTCGGATTAATCGCTCAGTCCATGAAATGCACGGCCTGGAACGGCAGACTTCTGGTCATCGGATTTGCGGCAGGCGATATCGAGAAGATGGCTACGAACCGCATTTTGCTCAAGAATGTTAGTGTTGTTGGGTTGCATTGGGGTGCGTACGCAATAAACGAGCCGGAGATGCAGGATAAGGTCTGGGACGGCATTTTCCAGCTTGTCAAGGAGGGGAAATACAAGGGCACCGCGTTTACCGATGTCGAGTACGTCGGACTTGACAGTGTACCCGCGGCGCTGAAAGCATTGGGTGGTCGCAATAGCTGGGGTAAGGTTGTTGTCAAGGTACCGCAAGAGGGTGGCAGCAAGATGTAGAGTGTCTGGCAACATCATTTGTTAAACTATGCGCAAAGTCCAGCATAAAACGAGAAGCCTGAATTACAGCGTAAACTAGACCTCCACTCTCGTCCTAACATACCGCAGCGTCCTCACCTCAAAATCATTACAATCATTGCACGAAGGTCCAGGCCGCAAAAGCCTACGATCACGCCTCGATACCACAGTCTCTCCCAAATCCCTCTTCCACCGCCTTTCCACTACATCCCCATCCCAAACTAATGCCCACTCTTTCCCCTTCCCCTCTTCTTCCCCATCACCACCAAACCCAAACCTCCACATCTTCGCATACTGTACAACGCGTTCCAACTCCTCCTTCCTCGCCTCGAACGTCTCCAGCACCAACTCCAGCGTCTTCAGATCAGGCAACGCAGAAACGACATGTGCGCCCCAAGATTGCGGGTTGAGCCGCGGATGCCGACCAGCCTTGCGCTGCTCAGCGCGCAGACGCATGGCTTTGCCCGAGGGGCGGCCCTCGTTGAGGTCGTAGCGCCCGAACGACGGGTCGAGATGGAGGTTTACGGCTACGTTCCATGTTGACCAGTCTGTGCGTGTAAGACGCAGAGTGAGATGAGTTAGGGGTTGAGCGAGGGTGACGCGGAGGCTGCGACATGATGGTAGCATGGATTCCGCGGGAGTGGGAAGACGGTTTAGAATATCGTCTAGTCGTTGAGGTTGTGTATTCGGTAAGTCGACTGTGGCCGGTACAAGAACATTCTCGTCGAGAGTGCGTGAGCACCCCTCTACCTTCGCCCATTCTCCATCACGGAAACAGCGCATAGGCACCACATATGCGCCCTGGTGTCTAGCGTTACCTCCCATCGCTTTCAACACATCCCCCAGCTTCTCGTTTTCCAGCTCACGCTGCTTGATTGTGATGTCCAGTCCGCGTATCTGTGCTAGTTGCCATGCTGACATTCTGGCGCTTTGAAGATTTCGAGATGCACCCATGCGGTATGCATTTACCTTCAATGGCATGTTCCACGTCTCCAGATACACCGCCTTACAAGTATGGAGGAGTGATACCGTTATATCGCAAGGATGCAAGGGTCTCCCGCCAGCCAAACTTCTGGCATTTGGACCATGACCAAGGTATTTGACCTGGACGACTGGTATTTGGTCTTTGGGAAGAAGGTAGTCGATGGGATAGGAGGCTGTGTCTTTGAGAGTGTAGGTATAGATTATCTCTCTGACTTCCAGAGGAAGTGATGTGAAGAGGCGGCAGTTGTTTTGGGGTTGGACGTTTGATGGATCTAGAGACCATGCTTGTGGTTCACGGGTTATTTTCGTGCGAGCGCATTGTAGATCGACCTTTTTGGCTGGGGGACTACCAGTGGACTCTGTGTCGGTGGGTGTTGGTTCGTGTGCGGCTTCTTGGGTGGCGTCTAGTTGATCTTGGTAGCGTATGCATTCGTAGCAATTCCCGCATCGATTGTCAGCCATTGTGGTAGTTTGAATATCTTTGCAGATTGATAAACGGGACTGAGGAGAGTTGCACAAAAACGATGGGAGCAGGGGGAACTTCTTGTATTGAAGAGAATGACTCAAATGTAGGTGTGTATGGTTGCCTACATGTAGGCCGATTCCGTCCTTGCAGTTTAGGCATCCCAGTTGGGGCGGGTATCCGCCACTTGAACACGAGCGAATCAAACAAAGCGGCTACTGGGCTCTAACAACTCCCCAATCGCCTTCCTAATATACTCCTCGCCTTCAACCCATCCTCCCCCTATTAGTCGCTGAAGCTCCTCAGCATTACTCATCCTCAATCCCGGAATATGAGCGAACAGCTTCTCAATCACATCCGTAACACTGCCCTGCGTAATTGCACCAGCAATGGCACGATACATGCCAGACTTACGCGTGTATTTCGCGTCGGAGCAACCAGTCTCTGCCATGGCATCGGCATAGATATCCGCGTACTTCTGAATCTCCCATGTGGGCATGTGGGGTGAGTCAGCAAGAGAAAAGTCCCTATTCCAATCGCGACGGAGGAAGTCGGGTAGTGAAGCATAGCCAATACAGCGAGGGACGGCGAGACAGTTGTCCCAGTCGATGATGCCGGTGACGTTTCCGTCGTCATCTACGAGGATGTTCTGTAGATCGAGATCAGGGTGACGGATGACGAACGTCTCGTCCTCGTCGGCGTCTGCGGGATTCTTTTTCGAGACGGCGATCGTGGGGTGGTCGTGAAGCATGTCGATGATCTTGCGCATTCCAGATACCATGTTCAGTATATCTTGATCAACATCGGGATCGTATTCAGGGATCGCAGGCCAGCTCTCCTCCAAGTCCAGCTTCCAGTAGTCCAGATTCTTTTTGAATGGTCCATATGGGTACACTTGGGTTGGTCCTCCTAGATCCTCCGCAGTGAGTTCGTACGGCGGCTTCCAGCGATATGAGACTGTAGTTGTTGGCGTCGCGCCCAAAGAAAGTGCGTCCTTGCAATCTACAAGACCAACCTCATTGAAGCTCACGTCTCTTAGCTGCGACATACACTGCGCAAGTGAGCGCAGAATATTACGACGCTTCTTCTCCGTTTGTGGAGAAACGCAGTTGGTGGTGACATGATTGCGATCACTAGGCTTGTCATACCAGACGTTTTGGGCGGCTTTTCCAGGCATGCGCTTCATCAAGATGTATGGTGCGCCGATGAAAGAGGTCTCGATATCTAGAGCGAAGTCAACGACTTCTGGTATCGGGATGGAAGTTTTGTTTCGCAGCCACTGCATCAAGGTCACTTCGCAGCGTAGGTTGTGCTGATCGCCTGGCTGCCACCGGGCTGCAGTTCCAATAGCAGGGACTCTGAAAACATATCGTTCGACAAGACGGTTGGGAGGCTCGTCTTTTACCGCTGCCATGAACACAACGTGATGAAATCCACCATCCCTGCGTTGCGTAACATGGCACTCCTCTAAAGCAATATCGACGGAGCTGTAGCTCTCGATGACCGAATGCAGCAGCTGTCTGAATGCCGAATCAGGAATTGCGTGAATCTTTTCCCAATCAAAGCGAGACATCCCGGCTTCAGATGCATCTGTCCTGACGGTGGTGTCGCGATCGTCCCCAGTGCCAGTATCCGCTTCACTCTTTGCAGTTGTGCATGTATTGCCGTCTTGCGACTGCGTCGTGTTACTCGGAATCAGAAGACTATCATCTTCTTGACATGCTTGTATGTTTCGCAAGGATGCGCTATCCCTTTGCTGGCTACGGCTTGAAGGATCCGAAGGCACGTCAAAGCTCTCCAACATGTCGTTGTGAAGGTTTACTGCCGTCGACGCGTCGCCCGTAACCTCTTTCAGAGAACGAATAATCGTAGTCGAGCCGTTCGTAGTCGTGCAGCTATCGTGGTGATGTACGTTATCGAAGATGGACCCAGCAAGCTTATAAGTCAGAGTCGAGGTGACGGTGGATCGGCTCCCAGCTTCACGAATTGTACGTTTGTCGTCAGTTGCGGTGCTCTCGCAAGCGGTTGATCCTTTGTCTACTTTGCTAAGAACGTGATTGTTTTTCGCAATGTCGACATGGTCATCGGACGACTGCGCAAAGCCTTCATTCGTGATCTGCTGAACACCGGGCTCAGCGATATCGGACCCTCGAAAGATGTCATCAACTTCCCACCCACCACTGGACTCCTGCTCGAGGCTGAGTGTGAGCGGTTCGAGCTGGTACACGTCGTCGCTGGTCTCGGATGTGCGTTCTTCGTGGGTCTTGGGCGAGACGGTTCGACCGTGTTTATAGTGGAACAGTCTCCGCAAAGAAGCCAGCATGCGCGATGCTCTTCCTGATTTGGGAGCTTCCATGGCGTTGAGTGCAGGCGGGATGACGGAAGATGCATTGAGTGTCGTCACCTTTGCTTGACGATTCGGCCATAGGCTTGTGATCTTGTTTAGAATACCCATAGCTAGTAGAGTTGAGTTGGCCACTCGTGATCGTGAGAGGGTAGCAGGTGGTTGAAAGGTCCAAGTGAGAATGTGTTTATGTATTGCAAGAGTCGAAAGCTTTGACCGTATTCTTTGTGATTCACTGCTGCCGGTAAATGCGATCAGGAAGCGATAGATTGCACTTATGCCTTTCACACGGCCCAGTTCTTGCTGGTCCAAAAGTTCGCAGAATGCCCTGGCTTTACTGTCCAATATCAGTACGCGCACATTCAACTCCACTGTTGATCAAATACCCAGCCAAAGACATTCCTTGCCCCCTTAACGACCCAATTACAAGATCTCGAAGCTCAAAGTTCTGGTCCGTTACCTTTGAGAATATCTACCATGGCAGTATTCAGTTTGCCCTTCGTACGACTCTATGGGCCCGGTTGGGCTGTCTCCTGGAGTGGCCGTTGTTGCAACATTTGGCGAATGACGTGCGACATGGAAGGGCACCACTGTATAGAGCCTGGATGCGGCACAATCAAGCGCAGTTGCTTCGAGCGGCTACATCTTGCATACTGTTGCGTACCCATTCAGATGGCTAATGGCCAGTGGCGGTTCTGCGGCAACCGATTCGGAGTAGAATCTCCTCATGGTTGCTCATTACACCATTACGGCGAGTATGAAGATAACCGCTTTTTCCAGATGGCGAAGAAGAATTTGGACTATGAGCTCCCGAGCAAGTTCCCCCACGAGCAGATCGGATGGCAGATGGACATACCCAAGCTCGGAGATATCCGCTTTCCGTTCACTATGTGCATGGGTCTGATCAGTGGTCAACCGAGCTTTGTTCGAGTTCTAAAGGTCTCGCCAGACGGTTCGCCTGCTGAGATCTGTGAGATCGTTAAGGTAGCAGATAGGGATTTGCAGCTCACCAAACCCGAGACCAGCAACGACCGTTCCTCGGACGACTCTGCAGAGGCAAATGCAATTCCTCGAAAGCCAGCAGTTCTCCTTAGTATAATCGAGGAGGAAGAGACAAACGAAGAAGCATATAATGATGCCGCCTCTTATATGACCTATAACCATGCTATCAGAGAGGCCAATCGAGAGCGAGAACGGGGATTAAAAGACTCCCAGAAAGCCAGAGCAGCTGAGAAAGCAGCAAAAGCCGCTTCTTCCAAGTCCAGGGCCAAGTTGCAGAAGCCGGAGAGTATGAAAGAGAAAATAGCTGCAGCAAAGCGGAAGAAGAAAGACTGATCAGCGTATCCCGGTTCTGTAAGTACTTCGATTAGATATCGATTTGTTTCCGCGTAGAATCGGCGCAATCCTTTGCTATCGCTGACGAATGTAGTTCCGTAATCAGTCAGCACCCGAACATCGTTTTGCGTTGATAAGAAATCGCAGGCGCTGAGATGCGATATGAATATTGCAGGATGAGCAGACATAGTGGTAACCACTGGCTGCGCTGCGATGCACTGTAGGATCAGCATAAGCTTGGCGAGAGAACCTGGCGTTCATGAGATATGCGCGAGGCATGAAAATCTACTCTTTTCAGAACGCCTTAAGCGTACAGAATCAGTTTGTGGTGAATGAAATGACCCCTCATATGTCTCGGTGCTTTTGATGAGGCATGGTGTTCGGTGATGAGATGAGGATGAGGTTCGAGTTGGAAGCGTGGGAAGGAACTATGGAGCATTGACCACCAAAGCGTGGCGCTGACTAATTACCGATCGCCGAGCTCATTGTTACGCGCATCCGCATTGGAGATGCGTCTTACCCTCCGCGTTTTGCTGACTTCTGTCATTTTCGACTGTCGGTGCGCTTGCTCATCTCTTGTGTCTATCAACACGACCACTTGATGCCGGGCTGGCCATCATCGTGTCAAGCTTCATACCTACCGTTCACCTTTGCCACCGATGGCGAAACAAAACCTGGCCCTGAAGTCCAGCCTGAGCATGCGCGAGCTTTATGCTACGAGCATATTTGAAGAACCCAATATAGCCTTCCGCGTATCTGTGGGAACTGTAACTTCGTGGACACAAAAGCGAAATGAAAACTGCGAAACCGGAACCATTAGTTGCCATGGCTATAGGGTGAAGGCAACGGCACAACAAGGTGCCTGTCACTCCTGGCCCGCACTCAATCTTGCAGAAAGAACTAGAATAGCCTACATGGATGTTCGAGGAATGTGTGGCAGAATTCACAATGTTGTCAAGTGTCAGTACGATTTGGCGTGACAAGTCTGGGCCTTCCGACTGTCGAACAACGCGACCGCATTCACTCTGAACCTTTGGCAAGCCAGTATTCGCCATCGTTCTGAGATGAGTCTGCCGCTTCATTTCACCCCATGAGCTACCAGCTCTCTTGAGTATAAGTTCGTCCCCTATTCTCCCCACATCATTACTCACCTTCCGAAACCCTACACATCCTTTACAGGTCAACCAAAACTTCGCCACTTACTCTCTTCAACATACTACTCACATTCGAAGCTCTAAACCATTGCTTCAGACCATCATGTCATCGGAAGAGGACAAGATAACATCCTCGTTGGTCAATCTAGACATTTGCATGACCGCGCAGGAGTCGACAGTTGACCGGAACAGTATTCCAGCCGACGAACATGCCAACCAAAACAAGACTTATCGAAACCAGCCCTCCAGACCTAAGGGGAACGAAGAGACTGAGGATGGCGGCATGAATTCTGGCATTGGCCTGGACGAACCAGTGTCTGATGATGATGACGACCACGAGCGCTACATTGTTGATGACGATGAAAGCGTTCACCTTGCTCTTAACCTAAAACGCCACGACTGGGAGCCTCTTCGACAAATTCCAGACGACAAGTTCAAGGATATTGTCCTGCTATCCGTGGATCCCAGCGGCCAGCTTGAGCGTGCAGATGTCGAAATTCTCTCGCGCTACGAGGGCGAAATGAACCTCGTTGTGACGCTTCAAGTCCGCCACAAAGACCAGGGTGATCAAGACTACGTCGTATCGGTGCCATCCGTGGGCACGCAACCTCGCTGGCGAGCGGGAGACGCCCACAATCTGAGAAATGAAGTTGGTCTTATGAAGTACCTCTTTCAGCACACGGATGTTCCGGCCCCAGAGGTCATCGCATCAGCAGAGTCTGTAGAGGGGTCCAATCTAGGTGCGCCTTACATACTCATGAAGCGTTTACCTGGCCGTCGTGCGCATGAGATTTGGTTCGAAGATGCCTCGGACATGAGCCACATTACCGCAGTCCGTATCTCAAAGGAAACTGAGGTAAAACGTGTGAACCTATTGCGTTCACTTGCCAATGCTATGGCAGGGCTACAAAAGGTTGAGTTCAAGGGCATTGGCATTCCTGCGTTTACCGATGGGGGGAGCAGTGAGACGCCCCGCGTTTCCTATTTATCTCAGTGGAAGGATGAATCCGACCTCACGCATGAAGACCTAGAGTCTGACACTCAGGTCTACCAGTACGGACCATTCGCGTCAAGTATCGAGTACTTGACTCCTAATTTCAGGACGATTTGGCCGCCTCTAGATTCGGAGGTACTGGATACCTTGTATCCAGGCACCTGCGACCGCCTTAGAGCGCTAGGCTACCGGAAAGTGCTCGAGATCATCTTTTCGCAGCCCGTCATCAGGAACTCCAAAGCGTCTAACGCCGAGGCTAGCGAGGAAGAGACCTTTGTCCTGGGGAATGATCTCTACCTCCATAATATTCTCGTCGACGATGATGGCAATGTTACAGGCATTCTAGACTGGAGTGTCTTCGCAAGTCCACGTTTCGTGGGTTACGCCTCACTTCCCATCTTTCTCCGCCGTGATTGGCACACTTGCTTCACTCTGCACGACTACCCATGCATGGGATATCAACTGGACCACTATCGTCAAATCTATACCAAGGCTATGGAGGAGACCGGATGTGCCGAAGCACGCTTCACCGCTAAGTCAGGCATGTACCACGCGATCGTAGAAGTACTGACCAGTTCAATGTCTGCCCCCGAGCTTATCAAGAAGATTATGCTTGAGATACCAGAACTGCGTCGCACAGACCTCAATGAGTTCAACATGCTCCTGGGGCGAGACGACTGGCCCGAGGCTGAAGAGTGGTTGGCGGGGAAGATTGGAGAGCTTCTGGACAGCAAGCCCTTATCACGTTGAAGGGGCCTATGGAGGGAGTGAGATGTGCTGAATACGTGCGTTCATCACGGACAGCATCATGAGTACGGAGACTAATCAAGGAAAGCTTAGTAGATGGACAGGTCAGCTGGTATCAGGTCCTGTCGCCAGAGTTTTTTTCGAATATCGTGCGCTGTATGGCCATATCAAGATAGAAGTTCTGTTTATATTACACCGTTGCTCATTGACTAAAGTGCCTTTGATGTGTTCCTTTCTTCTCTCGCTACATGTGGTCAAGTGAAGATCGATACGTCATGGATCGCCTGACATCACCACTCTCACAAGTACACATCTGGGTACATAAACATACCTGCAGTAGTTTCTGAAGGATATACAACTCAAAACCATCAATCTGAACAATTCTCAGAAAATATGGCATCCCCATTAACAATAGTCGTCACCGGCGCCAACCGCGGAATCGGCCAAGGCATCATCAACCTCCTAGCCACCACTCAACACCCACAACCCCTCCACATCTACGCCACATCCCGCGGCGGCGTAGACCTCAACATCCAAGCCAAACCACCCAACGAGATCCGCTACGCAAAACTTGACGTCTCAGACAAATCCTCAATCACATCTTTCCTCAAGACCGCGCTCAACGACAGCGGCAAAATCGACGTCTTGATCAACAACGCCGGCATAAACAACAACAACAACGAAACCCCCGATGCCGCCGAACAAGTCATCAACGTGAACTACCACGGCACAAAACAAATGTGCCAACTCTTCCTCGCCCAAGGAAAAATGTCATCCACACCAAACGCGCGCATAGTAAACGTATCCAGCACCGCCTCTTCCTTGTCAAACTACCCCAGTACAACTGCATCCCGTTTCCGCTCCGCAACGTCCATCGCCGACGTAGACACCCTCGCCCAGGAATACATCAACTCCGTGAAATCCTCATCCCAAGAAGCCGCCGGGTTCGGCGCGCCGCCGAAATCGTATCAAGTCAGCAAAGCGCTGATGAACGCTTTGACGGTCGTTCTGGCACGTGAGAACGAGGGCGTGTTGGTGAATTGCTGTTGTCCCGGTTGGGTGGATAGTGATATGGGGAATCAGATTGGGAGGCCGCCGAAGACGTTGGAGGAGGGGGCGAGGATACCGGTGAGGTTGGGGGTTGGGCAGCTTGGTAAGGGAGGGGATGGAGACGGCAGTTTAACACAGGAAACTGAGCCGATAAGTGGTAGATACTATGGCAACGACGGAGTTACAGACCGGGGATGGGGGAGGGCGAGGGAGTGGTAGATCAAGGTTATTGTAGATGGTATGGGAGTACAGAAATTAGTTCTTTGTATCTTGGAGCGAAAGGACCGAGTACACAGAACCCCATCCCCACGCTTCCCAAAAGCCCACCTCAATCAATCCAAAAACCAACTCGGCACCTCCGGTCCCCAAACCGCCAAACTCTCATCCCCCGCCTCCCCCCACCCCACGGGCGTCTCCTCATTAACGCAATCCCCATCCGCATAATGCTCAATCATATTGCCCGTCGTATCCCACCAATAATCAAAAAGCTGACTCCCCAATATATGCCGTCCAACGCCCCAAACACTCTTATACCCCTTACTCGCCAACCACTCATGCCCCAAATTCTGTGTATCAAAGTCGTGGACTTCGAAACTGCAATGATGGACATGGGAAGTGGGGTTGCTGGAGAGGAAGACGGTGTGGTGGTCTGTGTAGGATGGACCGAGGTCGAGGTGCGCGAAGATGGCTACGTCTTTTTGTTGGGGGAGGGAGGGGTCGGAGGGGTTGGGGTTGATGTAGAGGAAATCTGTGGGGACGATGTTGAATGTGCGGGTGTACCATTGCATTTCGTCTTGGAAGTTTTGGACGCAGAGGCCGTAATGGCCTAGTTTGTGGACGGCGGCGGGACCGGGTTTGAAGCGTTGGAAGCGCGCGATGCGAGGCTTTTCGTTTTCGTAGTTCGTGGTTAGAACCTCGGGGAAAGGACCTGGCTCTTTCTTGGTCTGGCCGTGGATTAGGTTTATGGGGAAGCCTTCTGGGTCGTGCAATGTGATCATGTGGCCGCCGCCTGGTGCGTCGGTCAACTCCTCGATAGGACCAGCACCCGCGACTTTCGACGCTTTTTCTAGCTCGGCGTAGCTTTCTACTTCGAAACAGCCGCCGAGGAACTTTTTCTCTCCTTCTTGTGCATAGTAGACGTATTGGTCTGAGCCGTAGCCTTTGAACCACTTCTTGCCTGGGGCTTTTTGAGCTACACTCATGCCGAAGTCACGGAGGAATGTGGTGATTTCGTCTAAATTAGGGTGTTGGTACCGCATGTGCACCAGTTTTGTGAGTTTGATTTGGGCATCGCGGTCGATGTTTTGTTCTTGCTGCCATTGTCGGAGTGGTTTGCAGGGCTTGGGTATGGCGATAGATTGATGGACGGAGGAGCCGCGGTTTGGTGATGTTTCCCGGCTTGGGTTCTGGGAGTGTGGTCAGCAAGGCTTTGAAGATAAGGGTTTTCGTTCATCAAGAAAGAATGAGCTCCAAAGGCGGCTTCATCTGTTCGAAGATGCCAAAGAGTATCGAGAATGTAGATGTGGGGCCGTTGGAGGTACATACGGCAGGTGTGATTTTGTCATTAAACTCGTCGAAAGCCATGTTGAAAGAATTCCCAAGTTTCTTTCGCCAAATAGAATCGCTGTATAGAAAGCAAGCAAAGTAATTTGATGTTTGGTTGCCAATGCAGCCAGCGACGGGAGAGTATATAACCGGATGTGGGGAAGGAGATGGCACCTATGCCGATGTGGGGTCCCGGCATCTTTGTAGGGCTGAAGGCAAGACACCCTGCACCAACGCCACTGGTTTGCATATGCAGCAGGTACTGGCTAAGCCCGTATGTGGAGAGTCAAGATGATGTGAGATCAGCGTGGCACATGTACAACCAGCCGCAGTCCGCGAATGACGCTGTTTGTTCGATTGTTACTTCAAAGCTCCATCGTTTCCTCTTCTTCCACGGTAGGTTTGGCCCCTTCGACCAAATTATTCAACCATGTACCCAGTCTGAGCGCAGCCTTGCTTATCTGAAGCTCTACTATGGGCACAGCGCCTGCAGCATACCCATTAGTCCCAAGATCTGTGTCGTTCGTTACGCGACTCCACACGTAGTCGCAATCCCATTTGTTGCTCTCTTTCGCCCAACTTGTTGCGCACTCCTCAGGTGTGGAAGGATCGGTACAGGATAGCCACATGTATGGCGCGGAGTAGAACTGGTCTTTGCGAATACGAGTGACGAGCCCAGAGAAGAATGGATCGATCGACTCGTGTGAGAAGGGATGGTCGACGTTTGCCGCAAAGTAGGGTATGTAGCCGTCCCAGACCTTGTTTGTTAGCACATCTTTTGCTGTCCGTGTAAGATACTCACAGAATGTAACTGCGTGTGAGCGCCACCAAATACCACTTTGTACGTATTGCCTCCTACTTGTCGGCCACTTGCATGTAGAGGCTGATGAATGTCGCCCAGGAAATGAGCAACCCACTTCAACGCATAAGAACAAGTCAGGTTTGCACCTCCTGTCAAATCACCAGCATACACCTGGTCTATGCACTCCCGCAATATCCTCGTCTGGTTCGCAATAGCACTAACAACGCATCCGCCCTTTGCGCAGTCCCGCGCATAGTCTAGACTGCAGTTCTCAGGTTGGCGATCGTGTGTGTCTATCCAGTGCCACTGGTACGAGAAGTGGCCTTCGCTGGTGTGCGCATACGCGTCTGCCCATGCTGCGGAGCGCCCGACTGAGCCGTTATATTGGGGTTCGAGGATCTCTGCAAGGACGGACGTGGTTTCGGGTGTGAAGAAGGTTTCTGCCATGAAGCCGACTTGATTATGGACTGTGTGGACTTAGCGCTAGCTACTCGCGAAAGTGAAAGGACGTACCGTCTGTGTTCCATGCTGTCGCCGAAGCTACAAGTGTAGCTCCTATGAGGATGCTTCTATGCAGCATGACACCGGGGATCAGTAGAGCTGTTAGTTCGAACAAAGAACAAGATATGTCTGTGTCTAGAGGTGAAAGTGCGCGGCGCTTATATACACTCTAAAGCTCGTGGCTGGGTGGATGCGAGCTGAAAGATATGGCTGGTCGCTTAGAATCCCATTCCTGCTATATGGAAAGGTCGAAATAGATAAAAGAGAGATTTCGAACGAGCAGCAGTATCTCGAGAAGGTAGAGACGAGATGATCAGTGTCTGTCGTCTCTGCCCAGGTGTTGTTGACCTCGGGACGCGTGATGCACCATGGTGACGCGCCGTCCACGTGGGGTGGCCGGGGAGCTTGCTGCAGGGCAAGCGCACTAGAGCCGAAACGGCAACGCGCATCGCGCCTTCCCCACACGTGCCCAGATGTGAATTGCCATCACTGCGCTTTCACCTGCGCTTCCACCTGCGTCTGTCACATCTGCGGTCTTGGAGATGGCATAAGTTCCAGATCCTTAGATAACTTGGGTACAAACCTGACGCGATTTTCTTCACCAGTCGCGCGGCTAATATGACGAGAACGCATGGAACGGAAGACAGTCGAGGAAGAGAAAGACTGAGAATGCATCGTAGATGGTTGAAGAGGAGCATTGGTCAACTTGTGAAACCAGGCACAGTTGCAGCTTCCTCCCATTTCACATAGGTGAAGTTTGCGCCTCGATAACCGAGAGCTCCTTCCCGTATTGAGGCGAGATGGAAACGGCCTTCACCTTCCTCTTCGCCAGCTCACAGCTAGTATCCTTTTCACCACCTCTTCACCTTGTCTGCTCTCTTTGTTCTTTCTATCTAGCCGGCAGTTGTCACGTACCTAGACGCGTCTCAACTCCCCTTCGCAGATCTCATTATCGACAAACATTCCCCGTTACCCGGCACCGTCGTCACAATGTTCAAATTACCTCTCCAAGCCGCTCGTGGTGTCTCCAGATCTGCAACAGTCTCTTTCAAGCGCCAGCTACGACCAAGCTCCAGCTCAGCGTCCGACCGCGCTGGGTGCGTTGACCGAGCCGTCAACGAGCTCCAGGCTGCGCAGGGCATCACGACTACCGGTCGCATTGTCAACAAGATATGCACGCGCCTCGCCAACGATAGAGCAACGACGCGTACAGAGCAGCTGATCTGGCTTGCGAAACATGCTCTCGACACATCGGCAGCACCTAAACGCGATACTGATAGCAGCAAGGCTTCGGTATGCCAGAAACCCCCAGAGAAGCAAGAAAATGAGCAGAAGTCAGCCGCATCTGAGGCGGACGGCAAACGTTCTTGGGAGGGCGTTTCCGCATGGCCGCATATGTGGTAGGTATGTGTATCGTCATGACCCGATAAAGAGGCTGACTTATGTGTGCAAATAGGTAGATTTCCGGTTCAAGCACCTCTTTTCGATAATGGGCGCTTCTCTGTCAGTGCGTAGTCTTCAGGACTGTAGGTATCGAGCCCGGCGCATGGAAGCTCATGGTTACGTATCATTGTCAGTTGCTCCGGGCCTTCTGAGTTGCTATGTGGACCGAGTACCCCATGTGGGCTGCTACAACAACACGAGAATACGCATGTATACGCTTCGATACGCTTGAGACTGCACCAGTAGGACTGCGATATACTCGGCAAGTGGGCGAGGCAGACTTCAGGTGGCTTTGGGTCATCGGTATCAGGTAGCGTTACGATATATTCAGTCATATCTCGACTAGGCCTCCAGACTACTGGTGTGTATTCGGTGAATTCGGTTCCTAACAACCCAAGCCAACTGAATTAGCGGAAGGTCGGTGGACGCCTAACACTGTCAAGCAGCACCGAGATTAGCAATTCCAGTGTCGATCGTTTCAGATGCAATTTGTGACATGCAAACTAGACCCCAGGAGTAGGTAACAAGGCATCGGGGGCTGAGCGATGACGAAGCCCCGCCTGTGGCTTTGATCTATTCATGGCCAATCACACGCCAAGAAGTCCGAAGAGGTCCGCATCATAGCGCATACGCTCTCCCGCGCGTGGAATACAGGCTTGCAGCTCCTACGCCTCGTTCGTAGTTGTAGCGGCTCTTTCTGACGCTCTCTCTTGCAGCTTCTTCATTACCTACAATGCCCTCTTTCTGAACCTTCTTTTGTAACCACCATGGCGAGTTCAAGTAACCCCGCGCAGGGCAATGACGCGCCCCGCGACAATGCCCCGCCAACACAGCCATACACACAAACACAACCCGCGTTGGTCTTACCTGGTGGTTGACGACAGTTCTATACTGATTTCATGCGTAGCGCGCCCTCTAGTTCACATCACACCCCTAGCGCCAACGATGGTCCCGCCTACGAAGCACCGACCCTTGGGGACCTACCACCCGCATACACCGAGTTGCCAGGCCAGGTCGAGAACGAGGAACTGGGCACAAACGCAATAGTCGCCGACGATGGACGTGTTAATATCCGAATCGACCAAAAGAGCCGCGCGCTATCACAACTCATCCTCCCACAAATACAGCGTCAGCTCACAAACGCGCAAGAAGATCCTGAGCCGCCTCCACCATACGTCCCAGAGTTCCTCGGTGGTGCGCCCGGTCAGCAACCTCCACCTCCGTTAAACGTCGTCATACAAGTGGTGGGCTCTCGCGGTGATGTCCAGCCATTCGTCGCATTGGGCAAGGTGCTCAAGGATACATACGGCCATAGAGTGCGGTTAGCGACACACCCGACGTTCAAGGACTTCGTTATCGAGAATGGACTGGAATTCTTCAGTATCGGAGGCGACCCAGCTGAACTCATGGCTTTCATGGTGAAGAATCCGGGGCTGATGCCTGGCTTCGATACATTGCGCAGTGGTGACATTGGCAAGAGGAGGAAGGGCATCGCCGAGATTCTGAGCGGTACATGGAGATCTTGCATAGAGACGGGTAATGGTCTTGGTGTAGATCCGCTCCAGCAGACAGTCGAAGAGTGGATGGGTATCGAGGACCAGCTACCAGAGCAACTGCGCAAACCATTCGTCGCCGATGCCATAATCGCAAATCCTCCCGCTTTCGGACATATACATTGCGCTGAAAAGTTGGGCATACCTTTACACATGATGTTCACGTATGTTTGATCTCCTTCAGATACGTATACCTGCTAATTCGGATAGTATGCCGTGGTCGCCTACACAGCAGTTCCCGCATCCACTCGCCAACATCCAGTCTAGCAATGCAGACCCCACCATCACCAACTACTTGTCATATATCATGGTCGATGTACTGACGTGGCAGGGTCTGGGCGACGTCATCAACAGGTTCCGCAAGGATAGCCTACGGCTGGATCCCATCAGCGCTGTCTGGGCGCCAGCCATGCTCGCGCGTCTGAAAGTGCCTTTCACATATTGCTGGTGAGCATACTCAGAATGCTGCGCACAATTTGACTCACATCTCACAGGTCTCCTGCACTTATCCCTAAACCCAGGGATTGGAACCACCACATCTCCGTCGCGGGTTTCTACTTCCTGAACCTCGCCTCGAACTACACACCAGCCCCGGATCTCGCAGCCTTTCTCGATGGAGGTGAGCCACCAGTATACATCGGCTTTGGTTCCATTGTGGTAGACGATCCAAATGCCATGACTAAGATGATCTTCGACGCCGTGAAGATCACCGGAAAACGTGCGTTGGTGTCCAAAGGCTGGGGCGGGCTAGGAGCCGATGATCTTGGAAAGCCAGATGGCGTCTTCATGCTTGGTAATTGTCCTCACGACTGGCTGTTCAAACGTGTGTCTGCCGTCGTGCATCATGGTGGTGCAGGAACTACGGCAGCTGGTATCGCAACTGGAAAGCCGACCGTTGTTGTGCCATTCTTTGGAGATCAAGCCTTCTGGGGAGCCATGGTCTCAAGAGCCGGCGCTGGGCCTGATCCTATCCCATACAAGGAACTCACCGCAGAGAAACTCGCCGGAGCTATCAACGAAGCCCTCAAACCGGAAACACTCGATCGGGCGCAGGAGCTCTGCGACAAGATCAAACAGGAAAACGGCACACAGAAGGGAGCTCAATCATTCCATCAGATGCTTAATTACGACGACCTGCGATGTGCTCTCATGCCAGACAAACCGGCTGTGTGGAGACTGAAGCGCACTGACGTGAAGTTGAGTGCTAAGGCGGCTACTGTACTGGCCCAGCAAGGCGAAGTGAACTTCTCTGACATGAAACTGTAAGCAATCGTATGCTCGATTTATGAAATGCGCTAAAACTTGTAGATACCGCCCTCGCGAATATGTTCCTGATGAAGGCCCTTGGGATCCAGTTTCTGGCGCAGCTGGCGCTATTATGGGAACAGCAACCTCAGTGATGATGGGTGTTGCTGATATGCCGATTCAGACTCTCAAACTACTCAACATACATCCTGATGCCAGATCTAAGAAAGGCAAAGAAAAGGCCACAGGTACCGAAGCTTCGTCGACCGGAGAAGGAAGTAGTAGTGGACGTCCGACAACATCGAGGACGGCGACTGATGCTACCGATCGCTCAGGTAGAAGTAGGGCCGCAACACCAACAGCAGCTGATGCTGCTGCTGATCTGGCCCGGATACAGGCGGACAACCCAGCAGTCAAGAGCCCTGGCTCTCCTGGTACGCCTTCACACAGGTCATCATTCATGTCTCAAGCATTTGCTGAATCTACCCAAGGCTCGCGATCGCGGTCTCGCAGTCGCTCCAGATCGGTGGCTGGATCTGCAGCGCCATCCAACACTGGGCCAAAGCCAAGCATGGCCGAGAATTGTGAATCTGCAGTAGACACTGGCAAGGGTCTAGCTAGGATAGTTGGCGCTGGCTTCAAGTCACCCATGGACTTCTCACTCAATGTGGCTAAGGGATTTCACAACGTACCGAAGCTCTACGGAGCAGAAGTGCGACAGGTCGATAAGGTTACCGACTTCCAGAGTGGCATGCGAACCGCTGCCAAGGTATGTTGACTATAACACTACAAAGGATGTTTACTGATGCCAATACAGCAATTCGGCTTTGGTCTTTATGATGGCATCACTGGTATTGTGACGGATCCTTACAAAGGCGCAAAGAAAGAAGGTGGTATCGGCTTCGTCAAGGGAGTTGGACGCGGTATCATGAGCGTACCATTCCGCGTCATGGGTGGTGCTTGGTCGGTTCCTGGCTATGCCATGAAAGGACTCTACCAAGAAATGGTCAAGAGCAAGGGAAAGAGCGTGCAAAACTACATCATCGCCGCACGTATCGCGCAGGGCTACGATGAAGCATCCGAGGTAACGCAGGAAGAACGCGACGAGATCGTCAAGAAATGGAGCCACATGAAATGGGGCATCAAAAAGAAGCGCAACGTCGGAGCCGAGCAAATGGACTCGCTCCATTCACTTGTGCAACAGAAGAAGGATAGGAAAGATAAGCGTTCTGCTATACTCGACTCGCATGTCGGTGCAGTAGCCCAGCCGTCAGCCCACACGAACTCCGTTTCTCAGGGCAGCGCAGCAGGCCAATACCCTGACCCCCCACGTAGACGCGGTGTCGAGCCTGAAATCCGGTCAACGATTCCCAGCTGGCGGCAACAAGAAGCCGAACGAACACGCGCATTAAGACGACAAGAAACCCCCACATCAGGCTCCCCATCAACCGCATCGTCAATCGCCCCATCCCAACAATCCCAAGCCGATCTCGAAGCCCAACTCCTCGCCGAAGAAGAAGAAGACCAACGCGAACTCGAACGCGCCATCGCCGCCTCCGTCGCCGAGTCCTCGCGCGGCGACCCCGAAGAAGACCGCCTCATCGCCTCCGCAATCCGCGCTTCCATCGCCGAACTCGAAAACGCACCGCCTTCCAGCAGTGGCGCGCCAACACAGCAAGACGAGGAAGCAGCGCTCCACCGCGCCATGACAGCCAGCATGTCTGAAGCCGGCAAAACCGACATGACGGAAGAGGAGAAGAAGGCGCTTGAAGAGACGCTCAGAAAGAGCTTGTCTGAAACGAGTAAGCGGACGAGACGGGACAGCGATCACCGGGAATGGGGTTCTGATAACGATACCGAGGATGATGAGGATTATAAAAGGATTATCGCTGAAAGTAAACAGCTTGCGATGATTCATGCTGAGCATCCGGATGAATATGCGACGACGACGCAAGGTGCGCAGCAGGAGAGTGGTGTTATGGATGCGATGAGTCAGGCTATTGGTGGTGCTGCTTCGGGTCCGCCTGATGCTTCTCCGCCACCTTACGCTCATTCTTCCGCCCGTGCTTCTACCGCCCTGGGAGAAGACCAGACGCGTGATCACGACATGGACGCGCGGGCCGCTCCTCCTCCGCTGCCTCATCGCATTACGATGCAAGACAACGATAACGACGATGAAGATGCAGAACTAAAGAAAGTGTTGGCAGAAAGCGAGAAAGCGGAGAGTGAACGGATTAGCAATTTGGAGAAGCAGAGGACGGAGGAGGATATTGTTATGGAGTATGTGCGGAAACAGAGTTTGCTTGAGGAGGAACATAGGCAGAGGGCTGCTGGGGGGAAGTAAGGATGATTGCTGGAGGTGGTGGACAGTGGGAGGGAGGTGAGTGATGGTTTTGTGGATGTGGGAAAGATAGCAGTATTTGATACCCTGACGAGTGACAGTACATGAATTACGACGTATGAAGCAAGTGTTGCGATAGAAAATGTGATTGGATATTCTAGATCTACATGATAAACAATTAATCTCCTATATACATCCATCTCACCATCCCTAAAAGATACTCAAAAGATTACAACAAGCGGGTATACCCCCAACGCCCAGTCTTCCACAACACCTGCGAACAAAATAAAGAGATAAAAAGAAACTCCTACTCTCCACGTCCTCACCCCGGCGCCGCCCCCGTCAAAACCCTAACCCCCCACCCCCACCACCCCTCCCTCTCCCCAAGCACCCTCTCCAGCTCCCCCACCCTCCCCTCCACAAACTCAACCTGCCTTTCAAACTCACCGACCACATCCTCGATATCCTCGACCTTGCCCCGTAGCGCACTAATCTCATACTCAAGCTTATCGCCCACATTGCCCAATTCCCTTAGACTAGCCGTCAGCTGCCCGCGGTTATTGGTCACGGTAGCGTGCGTGTCTTCGCGGAGGGAGTGGTACGTGTCGAGACGGGGGTAGTATATCGATTCTAAGGTTTGGATGTCGGTGTCTGCGGAGGCGGAGAGGGATGTTATGGAGGAGAGGGCGGTGGAGACCCAGAGGGCGTCTTTGGTGGAGAGGGTGTGGAGGTGGGTGTGGAGACGCTTTAGTTGCGTGGAGTGTAGGTTTTGGGTTGTGGCGCGGGTGGTTAGGGCGGCGGTTGTGGTTGTGGTTGTGGTGGTTTTAGTGAGGTTGTTGTCGTCGGCGTCGGCGTCGGCAACTGCTTCTTCGTCGATGATGGGATCCGAAGCGTTGATTGTGGGCCAGCGGAGGACGCTTTCTTCGGCTGTGCTGAAGGAGAGGTGGCGGGGCCACCAGTTTTCGTTGCGGGCGGGTTGGGAAGGGAGGAATTGGGTGCCGGATTGGGTGCGGCGGAGGAGGGGTGGGACTTGGGCGGTTTGGTCGACGGGGAGGTTTTGGTCGAGGTCTACGCCGTGGTAGATGGATCCGGCGACGGAGCTGGATATGGTGGGTGGTTGATCGGGCTGATCTGAGACGTCGCTTTCGATGATGGAACTGCGTAGGTTGGACGCGTGGCGGCCACCGACTAGCTTGTTGTCGTTTAATGACACTACTGAGTCGCCTGGGGTCTCAGTAAGCTGTTTGGTGTAGGCTGGCTCCTCGCCCATTGTACTCTGAGGCGACATGAGAGAATAGGGATCGTCCGACTGGCTTTCGTAGTAGTCCATCGACGTTCTTGAGTCTGCGTACTGTGGTGTGCCACTCTTGGTTCGATGCAACACATGTCGTCCATGTTCTTCTCGCGATACTTTGCTTGCATGGGTGCGCAGACCCACGGCGTTTTTGATATGATGGAAGCCGCTGCCAGACTCTAGTTTGGCTTTGATGGTGGCCCGCTTTGAGTACGGATCTTTGCTGTCTTTCTCCTGGCCATCTGGCGAAAAGGTTTCTGCCTTCTTCATCTCCGAAGACCCTGTATCGCGCTTCGCAATGCCTTGTTGATCAAGCGTTGATTCTCGGCGAACCAGCTTCGGCGCAGGGTCATGTTTGTCTGGGGAGGCTGAGCGTGCTTCCCCGCCAGGAAGTCGATCGAACATGCTGTCTCCGGATACGGTCTTCCTGGGCTTTCCGTGCCACAACCACTTGGCGTGTTCACCTCTCACAAGCTCCACAAACTGGTCAATGTCGACAGTCTCGACTTCAGCGATACCGTCCTTCTGTCCAGCCCCAACAATGCCCATGACCATCTCTCCGCCCTTGCCTCCTAACTCGGCCACGGTGGATTTGAAAGCCCGGGGAACGGCCCAGCCTTCTTTACTCGCTGCCTTTGCTGAGGCTCTTCGTAGCTTATCAAGCGTGTGTCGATCGAGGCGTCGAGTTCTGGGAAGATGTTGCGACTTCTGGAAATGTCCGATACCACGTTTAGTGGCCTCAATGTCGAAGACATCCTTGGCAACTGCAGCGCTACAAGCACTTAGTCGGTTTCGGGCACCCATCAGCATACCCAATAGAGCAGCGACTGTGGTAGGACCAAGAATGCCATCGTGAGGTTCCACTGTGTAGTACTCAGATCCAAAGTCTATCCACCAGTCGTTGATAGCTTTCTCCGTGACATCGCACAGCAGCCCGTCTGCATACTCTGGTTCCAGCTTCCCAAACAAGACAAGTGCCACTTGACAGAGCTTCACAAGCTCAATGACGGATGCGTTGAACGGGATCTTTTCGCTGGTACGGTACAGTTGCTGGAACTTGGCTTGCGTGGCACTGCTTGGCGGTGTGAGCTTTATGCCCAGCCGACCTGAACATCCCAGTCTCTTCAGGTTCTCGTTGACGAAGAAGGCCTCGCGATATTTCTTCAGATCGCCTCCGGGGATGGGGATGACAGTCAGGGACGAGGGAAAGCCACTGAGGTTTGTAACCATCAAGGCGCCATAGGGGGTGTCCTTCCTCCGCGCATGGTACTCAGTCAGCGACCTGAAGTACAGACGCATCTGCGGCGACCATTCATCCTCATTCTTGGGTACGCTTATGATTGTGGCCAGCACAGTGTCCTCGGGATTGCCGGTATAGGTTGTGATGAGGAAGGTAGGATGGGTGCGCGAACAGGCCCATTGCTCGACGAGGTAGATCTCGTAGCCCTCGATCTTCTGGCGACGGGCGAGGACGTGGCATGAGGTGGTCGGGTCTTCTTCGATGTATCGCGCGGCTACTACGTCGGTCAAGACGAAGCGCTGGTGGCCGGCAGGCGACGTGGGAGACTTGATCCTGGCCTCTTCGGGTATCATTTCGGTGGTAGGAGCTTTGGAGAGCGGCTGTGGGCGGGACTGGGCTGTAGTCTTGCGCGTGGTTGACGTCGTCTGCAGGGGCGGCATCTGGTCCCGCAGCTCCTTCTCCGTGTGCGTCCGCGGCGGCGACATGGGCAGCGGGTGCGCCATGTTAGGCTAGAGGCGGTGAGGTATGTTTCGGATACACTACAGGGCGCTGCAAAGGCGTGCTCTTCATCGTAGAGAGGTAGGCGCAGAGTCTCGCCGATGCCCGAGCGCGAGCCACCGGTTCGAGGGCGGCAGTGTGACGGGGAGCGAGTGGAATGGCCCTTTATGCATGGTTCCAGCAGTCTCGAGCTCGGCGCTGCATCTGGATGGCGAGAGGGCGTCGGTATAGGGGAGGTTGTGCATGCGGTGGAGCTGATGCATCATGCGCGCGGACGTCGTCGGCCTGGTCCCCCACACGTCATGCCCGCGGCTGCAGCGACCATGCGGCGATCGCGAGCTCGACGCCAACTCCAGTCCGCCAACACGACGGCCATGGACAGCGGAAGAGAGCTCTGCTGGCCAGACAACAGCTATTCACTGCCAGCTGACCCTCGCTCTGCCACCCCCAATCTCCCCAAACCATCATAGCCACTGCCCCAGGGCATCCATCGCTATCAACACCATGGACGACCTCCGCGAGCAGGTGGAGCTGCTGGAGAGCAGCGCCAACCTGTCCACCAGCATCGACGATGTGCAAAAGGCCATAGAAATGCTGACGGCAGCTCGCGCTAAGATCGCAGCTGGTGCGGACTCTGTCAACAATCTCGCCGTAGACCCTGCTAACTTGCGCGACCAGATGCGAAGACGGCGCCCGTGACCCTCGCCAAACTCCAGGACCCGTTCAAGAAGACTCTGGACGCGGTAAACAAAGACCTCAAGCCGATCTACGCCGGCCTGAACAAGTATGGCAAGACGCTGGACAAGGTGCGCTTCCCTCTACATGCATCAACACCACCAACCTAACAGTTATCTCCAGAAATTCAAAGACAAGCCCCTCCCCTCCGCCGACAACGATGCCCTCTCCTCGCACCCCTCGCTCATCAACCGTGCCATCGCCATGCACCTCCTCCGCGAAGGCCAATTCGAAGTAGCATCCACCTTCATCGAAGAAGCGCGCCGACAGCCACCCCACCCCGAACCCACGCCCAACACGCCGAATCCATACATACGCGAAGCCTGGGAGAAAGATCTAGCAGAAGGAACCTTCAACTCGGAGCAACTGCAACAGCAATTCGCCGACATGTACCACATCCTGCACCAACTCCGGCACGAGCAGAACCTCGCCCCCGCCATCCAATGGGCGCGCGAACGCAGCGCCCTCCTCGAAGAACGCGGCAGCAACCTAGAATTCGAGCTCTGCCGGCTGCAATTCGTGTGCCTCTTCGACAGTGTATCCCCCGCCCCCAACGACGACTCCTTCATGTCCGACTCCTCCGACGAAGCACCCCCCACCGGCCCCCTCTCCGCCTGGGCCTACGCGCGCCGCGAATTCCCGCCCTTCCAAAAGCGCTACGCCCGCGAAATCCAACAGCTCCTCGGCGCCATGGCCTTCTACCAGAACATACCCACGTCCCCTTACCACCGCCTCTTCTACAACACCACCGCCTGGGACGAAGTCGCCCAGTCTTTCAATCGCGAGTTCTGCAGCCTCCTCGGCCTCTCTGCCGACTCTCCCTTGTTCATCGCCGCCACAGCCGGCGCAATCGCCCTGCCCTACCTGCTCAAAATGCAGTCCATCATGAAGGAGAAGCGGACGGAGTGGACGACGCAGGATGAATTGCCCGTCGAGATTCCACTGCCGAGTCAGTACCATTTCCACAGCATTTTCGTGTGTCCCGTGTCCAAAGAGCAGAGTACCGATAAGAATCCGCCGATGATGATGCCGTGTGGCCATGTTATCGCGCAGGTGAGTTTGGATACGCTGAGTAGGGGTGGGCATAAGTTCAAGTGTCCGTATTGTCCGAGTGAGAGTCTTCCCAAGGATGCGATTCAGGTTATACTATAGGACGTGGCCTGGATTGAGAGCGTTCACGGGTATAAACTTGGGTTGCAGGATTTGGAACCGTATGGGATGGGCGATGATGTTTGGAAAAGTATCCATTCCGACAAACGACGGGGATGACTTGGTGGCGGAGGAGTGGTATGTGGTGTTTTAGCGTTCGGGCGTTACAGTATCGTGTACATCTTCATGGTCGACTGCTTCATAGCATCACGGTATCTCTAGCATAGGCGGGTCTTTTTCCCGCTACAAATGAACAAATAACTTCAACACATCTTGAAAAGTAATTCCATACTACATGCCCCAACCCACTCACGACCGTATCGCCTGAAGCACCGTCTCAGTCATAGCAAGTACCTTCTCCTCCTCCAACCGTTGCGCAACAAGTCTGTCACAGAAATTAGCATCAACCACCCTAGTAAAACTCCACATAGTAAAACTCACTGTAGACTAACTGGTAGGCCGTGAAGTAGCTCAGGGTGATCTGATACTAATTAGTCATGCACTAGTGTTGAAAACATGGGAATTGGGCCAAGGTAAGTGGCACTTACAGCTATCACAAGCAGCCTGACAGGACTCGCTCTGCGCCTTGTAATCGCTCGCATACTGATCCACGGCTTTATCGACCGAGACGCCACAGGGGAAGGACGTGGCAGAGTAGTCGACTACGTTGTACACGCCGGTGTATCCGACGTATTTGAAGTCGCCGTGCGCTACGCTTGCGTAGGGTGTTGTCGGTGCTATTCACAATTGTTAGACAAAGAATGATTCAACAAAACAACGGTTCTCAGCTGCCTTACCTAAAATACCATCAAGTCCCTCAACCCCCATCCACTGTTCCAGATACTGTCGCTGCAGCTCCGATCGCTCCGTATGCAGTTTCCACATATCATAAACACCCAGTTCCTTCGCGTGTTTGTACTGTATCATTTCAGGTCGGTACGGCTCGCCCGTTACACCGAGTAAAGCCTCCACGCTCTTTCCTCCGTCTGCAACGAACATGCGGCCTAGAAGTTCAATCGCTTTAGCATGCAACTTCGGATTCCAGACCAAAACCTCATGCCCCGCTTTCTTCAGCTTGACCGCCGTTTCCTGCAGCGCTCGCGTCACAGGCGGCGTGGGTAGGCAGATACCGTCGTTGTACAGCACCGCGATCTTGAGCTTCTGTGGGGGATCGACGTGCCGCCATGGGATTGGCAGCATCTTTGGGTCTAGTTTCCAGCACTCTGCGTCGACGATGGCTTTGGAGTAGAGGGTGATGTCGCGGAGTGTTTTGCCCATGGGTCCGTTTACGGATTGCACTGCTTCCTGGCCAGCGAGACCGGATCTGCATCGTTGTGTGGTGAAGCGACCGAAGGAGGGGCGCAGAGTGAAGATACCGGTACATGCTGCTGGGATACGCAAGCTGCCGCCCTGATATTGTTAGATCTGAAGATCTAGTGGGAATTGGTGCTTACGATGTCTGTTCCGACGCCCAGAGGGCTTCCTCCAAATGCGATGAGGGCTGATTCTCCGCCTGAGGAGCCGCCGGACGTGACTTTGCGATTGAGTGGGTTGACGGTGCGGCCGAATGTGTTGTTCACGGACTCTGCCTGTGTCTTGTCAGTTTCCAGCTTGTTGGATATGCGTGTGTACGTACGATCATCATGGCTGTTGGCACATTTGTCTTGCAATATTGGACAGCGCCCAGTCGACGCAGTATTTCCACCAGCGTCGCATCGTATTCGGCGGGTTGGTTCACTAAGGAGGTGAAGCCTACGGTACTATCTTTCCCTTTTACGTTGAAGTTGTCTTTGAGCGATATAGGCAGGCCATGGAGCGGTCCTACGGTCTTGCCGGTTCGTTCGAGATGCTCATCGAGGGCTTTGGCTTGCTGTACCGCTTCATCGAAGAAGGCGTCGCTGAGACAATTCGTCTATACACCCATTAGATCGCCTCAACTCTACTCTACAAAACTCTGCCATACCAGTTGATGCGCCGCTGCGGCGCATTTGCAGAATGCGAGCGTAACGTCTTCGGCGCTCCATGCTTTCGACGCAATCTTCTCGAGGATATTTGACGCGGTGCTCTCAGTGATCGCGAGTTCTGACTCCGTAAGCCATCCAGATTCCCTAGGCCACGTCGTGACATCGAGTTGTGATTCCGGTGGAAACTTGTCCTGGGGTATGCGGTATTGAGTCGGAATGGATTCCGCGAGAGCGGCGCGCTTCCCCGCGGCAACTTTCTCCCAGTTCGCTTCAGATGTCATACTTCAGGACCTTTTGCACCGCCAAGTTACCGTATGGGGGACTGTAACATCCAAGTCTATTAAATTAGAAGAGGGATTCGTGAACATCTCCGTGAGTATCCTTCGCCATTCCGTATTCCTATCCTCCCCACTCTCGGGTGCATCTGCGCCGCGGTCCATACGTGATGGCGGCCCTGAACCGAAGCCATCGAAGGCGTTGACAGTACCATTCCCCGCATTTACACGCGCCCAAGCCAGACTAACTCCTAGCAGACATGCCGCTCAGTCGGCCGAGATAGACTGCCGTTGCTCAAGAGGATATACCTGCCGTGTTGAGATTCAGATACGCCTACCCAAGCACCCGATACCGGCAATCAGCTATCCAACCACGGGCGTCATGATTGTCGGTGAGGGTTACTGATTGTGAACGCTCCGAGTCAGGCATAAGTGGCGTACTATCATCCCATATCTCGTTCCCAGCGTCTATCGGTCCTTTCATGCATGGACGGACAATGTCACCCGAAGAGATTCAACTACATACAGAACTGATAACGGCGATTGTTTGGAGACGCGATAGAATCGTCTTTTGTCGCGCAACCTCACATTTCTAGCGACGAGGCGCATTGCCTCTGCTCAGCTGAGGTCAACACTTCAACATCTCAACTTCGAGATAACAATCTCCAAAATGGCCAACAGCTTCATCGCCTATCTTCGAGGCGACCAGAATGCGCCAGGCGAGCGCAAGCTGGTGCAGAAGCTCGATTTCTTCATCCTTACTTTCTGCTGTCTCATGTACTTCCTGAACTATCTCGATCGCACAAACCTTAACAATGCGTATGTTTCTGGCATGAGGGAAGAGTTGAGTTTCAAGGGGAACCAGCTCAATCAAATCAACACCGTTTTCACTGTTGGGTGAGTTGAGCATGAAAGGAAAAAGACACGAGAAACTTCTACTAATGTCACAATCCTTAGATACACCATAGGCCAAGTCCCATGCAACATAGCCCTCTACTACATCAAACCCCGCTACTTCTTCCCAGCATGCATGGTACATCTCCCCCCATCCCTCCCCCAACCACCCTTCATATTCTAACAACCCCACCAGGTAGCATGGGCGGGCCTAACAATGGTAACAGCCGCCGCGCAAAAGCCGCAAGACATAATGGCCATCCGCTTCTTCCAAGCGCTCTTCGAATCCTCCACCTTTGTAGGAACCCACTACATCCTCGGGTCCTGGTACACAGAAAAAGAGCTAGGGAAAAGATCCGGCATCTTCACTGCTTCGGGTCTGGCTGGCACGATGATAGGCGGGTTTATCCAGACGGGGATTCATAGTAGTATGGATGGGTTGAGGGGGATGAGTGGGTGGAGGTGGCTGTTCAGTAAGTTTTCAATTATATGCACACATCTACATACACATGTATTAACATCATTCTCAGTAATCGACGGCATCATCACCCTCCCCGTAGCCCTCTACGGTTTCCTCCTCTTCCCCGGTAAGTCCTGGCTGTACGAAATGCATGTGAGACATGTACTGACTTCGTACCTCTACCTCTGCAGACACCCCCCGCAACACCCGCGCCCCCTACCTCTCCGCCACCGAAAAGGCCCTCGCCATATCCCGCGTCCCCGAAGTCAGCGAACGAACCCCCATCTCCTTCTCCTTCCTAAAACACTGCTTCAGCACATGGTACTGGTATTTCTTCGTCATCCTGTGGATCCTCGCCGGAGAAACCGAGTCCTTCAGCACAAACGCCTTGCTCCAGCTCTACATGCGGTCTCATCCAACGGAAACATACACCGTAGCCCAGAACAACAACTACCCAACCGGCGTCCCAGCCGTCGGTATCGCATCCACCCTCTTCTGGGCGACCCTCACAGATTACATGGGCGGGAAAAGGTATCTAGTGGGTTACTGGATCGCAGCCACCGGCATAATTACCTCCGCGCTCATACTCGCCTTTCCACACTCCACACCCATCCACTTCGGCATGTACTACTGGGCGGGCAGCGTGTACGCCTGCCAAGCCACGTTCTTTGCGTGGGCGAACGATGTCCTGCGGTACGAAGAAGATAGTTTGCGCGCGGTGGTGATAGCGAGTATGAATATGGGGAGTAATGCGATTAATGCTTGGTGGAGTATTTTGTTCTACGGGGCGGATATGGCGCCGTATTTTACGAGGGGCATGTGGGCTATGATTGCGGTTAGTATTGGTATGGGGGTGTGGTGTGCGGGCGGGGTTTGGTGGCAGAAGAGGAGTGAGGGGAGGAGGGAGGGGAGTGTTGTGCATGCTGAGGTTAGGGGGAAGGGGGAGGAGGGGGGGAGGTTTGCGGGGGTTGGAGGCGAGGCAGAGAAGGTATAGGGGGGCTTGGAGATATGACGTTGTTGTTGTACTTCTACTTCGCGGCTCGAGGAGCTAATACAAACGCCTTGAAAACGCCGAATTGTTATGCAATCATACTACCATCCATCCATCAAGAGCACAAGACCTAGCCTCCTCATCCTATCCTACATCCCTTATATCAACCCCTATGACACACCACCGAACCTCTGGCTCGCCCTCCCGCCACGCATACTATTCATGAAATCAGCCGAGGGATCACTGCCCAGTCCATTCCAGCCATTAGCACCAACACGCTGGCCCTCCCTCTGCGCCTTGTTAATCTTCTCCTGGAGCTGCGAGGCCCCCGAATCAATGAGCTGGAGTTGAGCGAGCTGTGTGTTGAGGACGCGGACGACTTTTGTGAGGGGATCGTCTGGCTTGCCGGTCTTGCTGAGCGTCTGCGATGTGTTGTTGATTTCTTCAATCATCTCCGTGAGGTCTTTGTTGAGTTCGTTGAGGCGGTCTTGCAGTTTTTCGGCGAGCTTGTAGCTAGGTGGTTGTTAGTCATTGTGCAGGATTTTAGGGGTGTAGATATAACTTACGTCCTCTCGCGCTCTTGGTCTGGGCCGCGTAGCGCCTCGTTCTTGCCGCTGACACCGTGCATCTTCATGAGGTTGTCAATCTCCTTCTCGTAGCGATCGAGGTAAGAGTCGAGCTCTTGCTGGTTCTCCTCCATCATCGTTAGCTGCCTCTCGACTTCGGCGGCGTCACGCTCGGCTTGGAAGGTCTTGGAGTATAGTTGGCGGACTTTGTCGGAGTTCTCGACGAGCGCCCTGTCCCATGATGCGACTGTCTCGGCTTGCGATTGGAATTCCTTCTGGTACTTGGATAGGTCGGCGGCCCAGCGGGTGATGATCTCGTCCATGGACTTGTTCTTCAGGCGTGATTGCGCTGATGGTGCGGGGCCGGCGGTTGATGCAGCAAGTCCACTTTGGCCTGCATTGTTTCCGCTTGTCGCTCCAGGGGCCGGAGTTGGCTGTGAAGTAGTGTTGGACGATGCTGCTGGTGCTTCGCTTCCTGCGGGCTTGCTGAACAGGCTGGGTGTGGCTCCAGATGTGGTGGTGGTAGCAGCTCCAGAAGCAGCGGATGTGGTGTTGCCGCCTCCCAAACCACTTCCAAGGCTGGGGAACAAGGATGTGTTTGACGATGCGGTTGTCGTAGGCGCACCGCTTGTTGCAGTGGTTGTAGCTCCGGTTGTTGCGGCGGTGCTAGCAGGAGCAGCAGGCTTGGGAAAGCTGAAGCCACCGCCCGTAGATGCTGGTGTGGAAGCTCCCGCAGGCGAGAATAGGCTCGGTGCTGCAGAGCCAGATGACGCAGCGTTGTTTCCACCGAGACTGAGGCCCGAGGTTGCAGTGGGCTGCGTAGAAGCTGGAGCAGCGGATGTTGTGCCCAGGCTGAATCCTCCCAATGGCTTCGCGGGAGTCGAAGATGGGGTACTGCTGCCCAGCCCACCGAATAGCCCACCTGCAGGTTTGGAAGCCTGCGCGTCTTGTGAAGCAGGCGCTGACGGACCACCTCCGAATAGGCCGCCCGAGGGAGTAGACGCAGGTGCAGCGGGCTTGTTCGCATCGCCCGAGGCGCCTGTGTTTCCTCCTAGGCTGAAGCCGCCTGAAGGCTTTGCGGCAGATTGTCCGGATGCAGCGCCGAATAGACCAGGTGTGGAAGACGCAGAGGTTGCTGCTGGCTTTTGGCCGAACAGCGAGGATGTGCCTCCGCTAGACTGGTTGTTCTGGCCGAATAGACTTCCACCTGGAGGTGCGCCGGCTGGAGTGGTGGAGGGGAGGAAAGACGTCTTGTTTGCTGCTGGCGTAGCTGTTGGTGTCGAGCCTAGACGACATGTCAGCAGTCGCGTTGGATGTCACAGATATGCCCAGCTACTCACTACCTGCTCCGCCGAATCCACCAAATGGAGAGCCGGAAGATGCTGGCGCCGCGCCAGTTGAAGCTCCGCCGAAGAGTCCACCAACTGGTTTTGGCGCATCTCCCTCCTTCTTCTGTCCGAAGCCAAAACCGCCGCCGAAACCTGGTGTTGAGGATGGGGCCGGTGTAGCTGAGCCTCCGCCAAACAGACCACCACCAGGCTTGGATGCAGGTGTGTTGGATGCGCCGCCGAAAAGACCGCCTGAGCCGCCTGGATTAGCTGCGCCACCGCCAAAGAGGCCGCCGCCGCCGCTGCTAGCTGGTGTGCTCGAGGTGTTGTTTGCGGTGCCGAAGAGAGATGGCGTCGCGCTGCCAGTGGAGGGTGCAGCGCCAAACAGCGACTTCTGAGGAGTGTTGCTGCCGCCGCTGTTGTTGGCAGCGCCGCCGAATGTGAAGCCGCTCATGATGGCGGGTGTGGAGGGTAGCTCTGGTGTTTGTTGTTGATGGGCGATGGAGCTGTTGTGGTCGGCGAGATATCGAGAACGCGCGAAAGTCTAGTCGTGTCGCGCCCGGGGATGCAATGGTCGGGCCGCTAATGGACGAGGTCAAAGAATTGCGCGTAGTCGTGTATTCTCCTCACGCGCATCGACGTCGCGCCCAAAAGTTAGACAAACAGATGCAAGGGTCAGGGCTTAGCTCCGGTGAATTGTTGTTCCCACCTTCCCGCTGCTGGAGCGTCCAGACCGCTCGTCCCCGCTAATCGAGCGTGCCTGAACGACGACACGCTCAAGCAACGAGGCGCAGTCTCCTGTCGCCTTCGCAAATCACTCCTCGTTCGCCTCTATAACCGTGAACCGAGTCTCCACGACTTCTCCCACAATACACACCCCGTCAAGTATAGTAACATCAATTGCCTGACATGCCGGACGAGCTAGCACCACCCCGCAAGAGCGTAGAGCTGGAAGACCCCGGCGCGAAAGAGCTGGGTATGTCGTCTTGCTCATATCGTGTATCAGTTCTAACATCACATAGCCGACTCAAGCGACGAGCACTTCTCCGATGCTACCGAAGGCCAGCCTGCGCGGTCGGACATGACCTCGCCCATTCCCATCACACGAGTCGAGCGAGTCGACGACGAGCCAGCCCACGGCGAGGTTCCCGGAACAGACGCATACAACATGCGCACCCAAGACGCTGTCCCCGACGAGGTTGAAATTGTCCCAGAAGGCGCACGAAGTCGCAGTGCCTCGCGCGTCAGCGTCAGCGACAGGCCTCTGACACCAGGAGGAACGCCAGTGCCAAAGACAATTGTCGAGAAGATCGACCCCGATCAGCCCAGCTACGGCGATGTCCCCGGTACACTTGCCCACCAGCAACGTCTGGCCGATGCTACGCCTGACGTGGTTGTCAGAGCACCGGAGGAGCCTTCCCAGAGCAGCAATCCAGGTACGTAGGGCATTTCCTTGGTGCCTCCTGCGTACCATTGACGGAAGAAGGGTCACCAACCTCGCATGACAGGTCCCCAATAAGCCCGAGTGACGGCGCAACTGACGCCGCACCTGAAACACTTGCCGAAGCCGACGCCGACGCCTCGATCGAGCAAGACGACGACTTTGGCAACGCCGACGGTGACGACGATGGTTTTGGCGATTTCGACGACTTTGAAGAAGGCGAAGAGGGTGACGATGATTTTGGGGACTTTGACGATGGGTTTCAGCAAGGCCAGGACGATGCAGAGACATCATTTGATAAGCCCCCAGAACAGCCTCCTGTACCTGTCCCCTCGCCAGGTCCTGTAAGTCGCAGCAATTCTAGTCCACATACATTACTGCCTTGTCCGCTTGCCTTGGTGACATCTGACTAACCTCTCCTTCTACAGCCCGTCTTAGACTTTGACCAACTCACATCACTTGAAGATATCGTCTCAGCAACACAGCCATACCTTGATGACATGTACCCTGCACAGGACGGCATACCCACAATATCCACCAATCCCGAGGAAACACGGTCCATCTTCCTCTCGGAACGGAGCCATTCATTATGGACGCAATTAGTCGCACCCCCGCCACTACAACCTCCCGACTGGGTCCGCTCGCGCATACGGCGGCTGTTCTTGGTATCCCTAGGTGTACCCGTCGACCTTGACGAGATACTCCCCGCGTCCAAACAAAAGAAGCTCATCCTTCCTTCAATACACATACCCGGCGGCTCGCCGCGCCCCTCTTCAGACGGTCGAAATAACGGTGGTCCCTTGGGACGCATCAAGCGCGAGAACGAATCATCCACTTCAGTTGACTCATCAAGTTCAAAACCAGAGCGAAAACGCAAAGGACCGCCACCACCACCCGAACTGGACATCAGCAGTACCATGCAGCTTTGCGCGACAACAGATGCAGCACTGCAAGGCTTGACTGACGAGGAGTTGAAGATGCACATCGACCACCTAAAGGGCCTGCAAGAAAGAGCAAAGGAGGTGTTTGAGTACTGGCAGAAGAGGTTAGAAAGCGCACTAGGCGACAAGGATGCCTTTGAGCAAGTCATCGAGAGTCTGGTTGCGCATGCGAAGAAGCTCAGGTAGCCAGTCTCATGTTTCTGAAATACAGTTTAATCAAATTCCCATTGAGGCAGCCATGTTTTGGAGATGTCGTTTGTATCTGACCCCTTGTGATTCGCCAGCATATTCATTCCTTGGGTCAAGCGAACCACAGTTGTAACAGAGCTCGCACATTCTAGTGCCAAAATAGGTGTAATAAAAGGGTGGAGGTTTCTTTCTTCTCTTGATTTATCTTTTGTAGGAATACACTGCAGGACCTGTCTTCTGAAAATTTCCAACTGCCGCAAGAGAGATTACCATGTCATATACTACTACCACAACCACTACCACTACCTTTACCACCACCTATACCAGAACCACTAGAACTGTCTACACAAACACCGCGGCTGCTACAAACATCACTGTTTTCACAAGTCATACAAGCCCCGCAACCACGAACACCACCACAACCACAACCGCAACCATGCCGTACATCGAGATAAACAACGACTCTGCCCGAGCGCGCACAGCACCCTATCCATCACGCGCCTCATTCACAAACTTTGGCCTGAAACAAATCCGCACAGCATGCCCCACCGCACACGAAGACAGTTGTTCAATCTGCCTCGAAGCGTATACAGACATCGACCCCGGTACAAAGATTAACATATGCCGCCACATCTTCCACAGATCCTGTTTAATGACATGGTTGGAGTCATCATCAACATGTCCCATGTGCCGAGCAAAACTCTTCGCTCCCGCACTGTCACCATATTGGTCCTATCACCCATTGCCTTCAATGCGGGACCTCCGGATTGATACTACAAGCGAACGTACGAATCCGAGGAGGAATTTGTTTGAGAGGAGGGGTGGGGTTGGGGGCGTTCCTGCGCTACCGCATGCAAGAACGGATACGGAGTTGTCGATGATGGTGGGGAGGGAGGAAAGGGATGGGCCGGATGCGCTGGATGCTTTGGCGACGTGGAGAATGGCGGCTTCTGAGGAGGGGAGGGAGGGGAGGGAGCAGGGGGAGACGCCGCTGGATTATTGATGGGATGGAGGGTGTATGACTTTTGAGGTGTCATGTATTCTGCAAATGTGTTTTGAAGTCGAGAGATTCCGAGAGGCTACATTGTTGGAATGGGTGATGTTTGATTGGTTTTGATGTGAGTGTATTCTGCGGACATGTTTTGAAGTTGAGATCCTCCAAGAGACTACGTTGTGGCAACAGAGGATCTAGCACCATGAGTGAGGGATCTGTATTCTGCAAACACGTCATGAAATCGAGAAATGTCGGTCGATAGGCTTGCTCCTGGAAAGTAAGCGTAGAGACTACGTAGTCGCAAGAGAGGATTCAGCACAACTTGTTGGGTGTATGTATTCTGCAAACGCGTTATGGAGTAAAAGATTTCCAAATTTAGATGGCTTCCTTGTGTATAGTGGAGGGGTCCCTAGGTGGATACATAGTAGGCAAACCGTACTAATTCGTCACGATCCACATGACTGATCTTGGACATGTATATCGTGTTGAGTTGTCGTGAAATACCTTGATGTTGCAAAAGCAAATCTAATTTCTGTAGGGTTGTCCGCTGCGTGGGACTTGCTCCCGGGGCGAGGACCCGGGGAGTGTTCGGATGCGCCGACCGGGTTCCCCAATGTTTCCTTGCTTTGGTGCAACGGCGAGTCGATTTTGGACAGCGCAAGAACACGTCCTCGCATGTTAGCCAGCATGTGCCGGCATCCGCTCAGACACGCTTACTGCAGTCGGCCGGACGGCCGGGAGAGACCCTGAGCGAAGCGACGTGCTTTGTGAACAAGCGTACCCCACCGTACGCACCATCACAGAGCCCCTCTGTCAGCTGTCAGTCAGCGCACGATAAGATATGAGAGTATTGCGATCGATGGCGCTGAAACCACGGCACGAGTACGGCAGGTGCAGTGGCATGCAGATCAAACAGGAGAGCAGCGCAGAGCTGCCGTGGCTAATTTAGAGGCGCCTTCACAGTTGGCCGTGGGCGTTGAAGTCCTTGGTGTCCGCGGTGTGGTGCGATGCTAGGCGATGCCTGTTCCGCGCGCCGTTAGCAGCGAATAGGGGTAATTTGCCACACTGGTGGGTGCAGGTGGCTTCGGTCGCACTGCCATTCGTCGCTCTGTTCGTAAACTCGTACGTGCTAAGAGCTGGCACGCGGACGGGAAATGCATGGTCACACTTCATTTCGCGGGCCATGACGTCGGCGGTGTGCAGTGGTGTTGTGCTGGAGGGCTGAATTTGCGGTGGTTTGTTCACCAAGTGGCCGTTGGCAGCCATAGTCCGCCCTGTCCGTTTCTGAGCTCGGCCGTGCACGTGTGGACCCACCCGTGCACGACGTAGCGCTCAACTGTCATCTTCGCGTCCAGTCTGCTTTCCCAACCCGGCAGCATGTCGGGCAATCCTTTTGGCAGTGAGGCAGCATAGTGTAGCACGCCCGTGACGCTGCGTTGGGCTGGCGTGTTCCGTCTCTCTTCCGCCGCGCTCCCCTCTGCTCCTCCATCGTGTGGCGTGCGGCTATTCTTCTGCGCTAGCCCTGTTTGAGCCATACTGGATATCCATTCCAGCGGGGCCCCTGCTTGCGCTTCCTCGATACCTCTCGAGTTCATCTCGCGATCCATCAGCATCCTCGCAGCCGTCTGCACCGGCAGACTCTTCAGTCCCTCCTTTGTCCGTTTCCGCCTGCCCTCGCAACGAAACTTGACCAGCCGCACTTCCGTCCTCTCCCCCGTTCCAGATGCGCACATAGCAGCCTTTTGAGCCTCGCACCCTTCCACCCGCCGCCACAATGGCCGCAGAGACGTACTCGAGCGTCTCAGCCATCATCCGCAACCTCGCCCGCCAACATGACCCCACGCGAGACCCCAGCTTCAGCGCACAGGTTTCGGCCAATGGAGCCAAGACGGCCGCCAACGCCATCGCTCTGCCGGGCCCGGAGAGCGAAGAGAAGACACAACTCGAGCAGGAGCTGTCGGCGCTCTGCTCAAGAATAGATTTCCTCGAGCACAAGAGCAGCCACGCCGCGACCAAGCAAGGCCAGTTCCCTCTGACACCCGCACAAGAGCCACCGGAGGAGGGCGTATTATATACACAGGCCGGCGTCGTGCGCGGCAACAACGGTCCACCCGTCCAGGGCCGGCGGGGATCCAACAAGGAGCGCGCCATCTGGGTGTCCAACTGGCTCGCAGCCAAAGAGTCGAATGGCGACCCCGAGCAGCCCGCCGCAGCCCTCACTGAGGAGCAGCTCAACTATCTGCGCGTACACCTGAACCAGCAAGCCGACCAGATAAGGAACCAGCGCGAGCACATTGGTAAGGGCGTGCAAATGGAGTCGCATGCGCTTATTCTGACATGATACAGACAACCTGAGCCAGGAAGTGAACAAGCAGTTGACGACACAGAGCATGGTATTCGAACACGGCATTGAAGACATCGGCGCACTCAAGAGAGAACTCGGCAAACATCAACAGGGTAGGCTCTGCAGCCTCACATAGGCGTTGACACGGCTGACATGTTTAGCCAACTTGGCTTTCCAAAAGGCACTGCGGGAAATCGGCGCCATCGTCACGGCCGTGGCCATGGGTGACTTGAGCAAGAAGGTCTTGATCCATGCTAAGGAGATGGACCCTGAAATCACTCTGTTTAAGCGCACGATCAACACCATGGTTGATCAACTCCAGGAGTTTGCTAGTCAGGTTACATTCCTCGCCCGAGAGGTCGGCACCGAAGGCAGATTGGGCGGTCAAGCCAACCTACCAGGAGTTGCTGGTATTTGGGCTGAGCTGACTGACAGTGGTACGTTGTGATTAGGGTTCCACTATCGGCCCGATGCTAACGTGTCCTGCAGTTAATGGGATGGCCAAGAATCTTACCGACCAGGTGCGAGAGATCGCCGTAGTCACCACCGCAGTCGCCATGGGTGACCTCAGTCGCAAGATTGAACGCCCGGCCCGCGGAGAAATTCTGCAGCTGCAACAGACGATCAACAGCATGGTGGACCAACTGCAGTCGTTTGCGACTGAAGTATCCAAGGTGGCCAGAGATGTCGGTACCGAAGGAAAGCTCGGTGGTCAGGCTGAAATCGCTGGTGTCAAGGGCATGTGGAACGAACTCACAGTGAACGTGAACGCCATGGCTCAAAATCTTACTACACAAGTGCGAGACATTGCCCAAGTGACAACGGCTGTCGCGCAGGGTAACCTCACCCGGAAAGTCGAAGCCGAATGCAAGGGTGAGATTTTGGAACTCAAGAACACGATCAATCGCATGGTGGACCAGCTGCAGCAATTCGCCCATGAAGTCACCAAGATTGCGAGAGAGGTCGGATCCGAGGGTCGCCTTGGTGGCCAAGCTACAGTGCATGGTGTTGAGGGAACCTGGAAAGATCTCACTGAGAATGTGAACGGTATGGCCATGAACCTCACAACGCAAGTGCGAGAGATCGCCGAAGTCACCACAGCCGTCGCAAGAGGAGATTTGAGCAGGAAGGTCAAGGCAGAAGTCCAGGGTGAAATTCTGTCTCTCAAGATTACCATCAACACCATGGTGGACCGTCTCAACACATTCGCACAAGAGGTCAGCAAGGTGGCCCGTGAGGTCGGCACAGACGGTATCCTCGGCGGCCAAGCGCAGGTCGACAACGTGGAAGGCAAGTGGAAGGACCTCACCAACAATGTCAACACCATGGCCCAGAACTTGACGCTGCAAGTGCGAAGTATCTCCGAGGTCACACAGGCCATCGCCAAGGGAGATATGAGCCGCAGAGTGCACGTGGACGCCGAAGGAGAGATTCGACTACTCAAAGACACTATCAACGACATGGTTATGAGACTAGACGAATGGTCTCTTGCTGTGAAGCGCGTAGCTCGCGATGTGGGCGTAGACGGAAAGATGGGCGGCCAAGCAGATGTAAGAGACATCGACGGCAGATGGAAAGAGATCACCACAGACGTCAACACCATGGCCCAGAATCTTACGTCCCAAGTGCGCGCTTTCGGCGACATCACTAACGCTGCCA